ACTTTTATAGTGGTTCCAAAAAAGTTAAATATTTGAACAATTCTGAGACAAAAATTGACCATGTGCTCATGTCATGGGCTTCACAGGGGGCTTCAGTAACATAATCATGAATGAGGTCCTTCAACTAATTTAATTTTTTTCTGGAATTGGCTGATTTAAAATCAGGATATGGTGTCACACCATAGGACATGCTTTTCAGAGACAAAATGTATAAAGTTCCTACGCTTTCAGAAATATATGGATGAAAAAAATGATTGCCATTTACTAAAATAGACACTTGTGCAATTATGCCGGAGGTATTTATTAACATTTTTATGTTTTTCTTTTATGTCTTTTTTATAAAAGTTGTAATTTAATGAACCATGCTTGAGACAGTAACACCATAGGACAATTTTGAGATTTGGCTCAAAAATGTAAAAAAAAATCTAATAACACTGCAGCTTTTATAACAATGGGTCCATGTAGGACAAAGAAATGTTTAATGATTTACTGGATTTTAAATAACGACAATATTAATTATATTAATTTTTATCTTGTGGGACAGTGAAAATGCCATGTCACGTCAACAACCAATATAATAAAAAGCATCATGCAGAATCATAATTAGCTAATAAAATTACCATCTCATCTATAAAGAAAAAAAGACAAACACTATTAATCTGGGCTTTAATTCACTTAAAGTATAATTCATACAAAAACAGTCGAGAAGGAAAGGTGATTCTTCTTTTACATTCATTAATTCTACTTCCAGTTGACTGGCATGTAACTAGATCACATGAGACTGAGGTGTTGCACAGCGGGTTACTGGCTCTGTCCACACTCACAACACAAACCAAAGTGTAGTGCACAAGAGTAAAAACCTCAACGGTGTGTTTCCTAGTGGCTGAGCTATTCTGTACATTAAAAAAATATTTAGGTTGCATTCTAAATACACATTGATCATCTTAATGAAAAACAAACAAACAATAAAAACAGTTCTGCTGAACAAATCTCCGTAAAGCTGTTTCCAGTGTGTGCTTGAATCAGCTATGGAGATAATACTTGTCTGCAAAAACTGACAGTCCTTCTTTTAAAAGAGTTGTTACCAATCATGTGCACACACACATTCTCTCTCACACACACACACACACAGCTTTTCTTTATCTTGATCTTGTCCATCAAGATCAAGTGTTCCTCACTCCAGCATTTGCACTCATGGGCTAAACATTCCCCAGAAATCATGCGTTCATAAGCATACACTCAGAACACACATCTCACCTCAACATGGAGCTGATGTTTCAAACCGATGTGAAAAATTCATGAAACATGTCCAGGTAAGATTACAGCCCAAAACCAAACAGAAAAACATATATATATTGTGTACAAAGAAAATTAAGCCTGTGTTTGGACCACATTTTTTCACAAAAATTAAGCATTTCTTCTTATCTTTTTATTGTATTTTTGTTTTTATTCTCAAAAGTGATTCAGATTAGATTCTAATGTTTGAACAGCATTTTGACTTTATTATAATAATACAACCTATACATTACATGATTTTATAAGTGCAAATTAAGGTCAAATATTTTATGATGCTAATTTTTTTCATATTGCATACTGTAATTTTAAGAACACAAAAAAAAGAAAGAAAGAAAAGAAAACAAAAGAAAAAAGGGATTTTTTTCTTTCTGATTTAGGGCGAAAAAAGACCAGGACATGTTCTTGGCAGGTTTCATGAGATCCTAATAATGTAGAGCATTACCACAAGTTAAAACACAAGCCCTTTGCTCAGGTTGAAATGGGTAAAAACAACACAGAACCTTCAAATCCAATCAAAAACAAATCACAAACGAAACATTTCAAATTGTGCAGAAGCATTGACTAAGACTAGGCCGTGCTGACGCTCAGATGGTGAACCTCACTGTATTGCTGTCAAATTCTGTTTACAATACTGGTTACACTTCTGAGTGCTGGAAGTGCATGTGAATACTGAGACAGAGAGCATAGACTTACATTTAGCCACTTCCATCTTGCAGCTGTGTTCAGATGTGGCCTTGCAAACTCTCAAAAAACCTGAAGTGTACCTCTGTCATAATCACAGTGTTGCTTGCCATAGGAACACTGAGGCAGCGCCACAGGGATAGAAGGCATCAGTCGCTTTGACATTTATCCCTTTTAGTGTCTTGTAAGCTTGAAAGAGTTGTTCAGATGGGCACTGAACTCACTGTAACATTGTACATCAGAGTTTCAGGGTGAAAGAGGAGAGAACAGAGTGAATGAATGTCTTTGTCCACTAATAATGTCAGGGAGCCCAAACTATTCTGGAGTCTGAATATCTCATTGAACTTTTAAAACAGTGACTTTTAGTAAAGTTGCTTTCCCACAACGTAAACCCTCCACATTTGTCCAAAAACGTCTTTAAAAATACATATAGAATATTTACAATCATAAATAGTTATCAAAAGCAGTATAGAAGCCCTAATTCTACTGCCGCACCAAGTGCTGGTAACTCTCAATGGAATGTGGGTAACCGGACTCAAAAACACACCATGATCAAACGAACTCTGACATAAAAACTCTCATTCCCTCAGCCTGCTGACAGCACAGTGCAGACAGACACTTCTGGCGAGGTCTGAGGGGGCGTAGTAGTGTCCTTATCTAGTGTTGAATCCTGTAGTGGAATAACGGTGGCTTTCAGTCAACTCTATGGAACCCGAGAGTGTGCGATTCACAAACAGTCTGCTCTTCATTTACACCCGTCTGTGGAGGGGTCGCTGTGAGTGGGCTTAATCTCAGCGCAGCCAGGATGAGGGGACCCACTGAGGTTCAGTGTCTAGTTTATTGATGAGACGCATCAGCTCCTGGTAGGCCTTGTCCAGGTCGGTGTTCACGATGGCGGCGTCAAACAAGTGGCCGTAGTTCTGCTCCATCTCACGGGCCTTCTCGATGATGTCTCTCAGCTCCTCAGGCTGAAAAAACAGAAAAAAAAAACAAACCAAAAGGGAAACCATGAGAATGGTAGTAGTAGTCCAAAGGGCCGGTTCACACAGAGATAGAAGGCAGGGGAATGGGGAAAAAAAATGCAAGGCCTCGAGATGCGTTCTTTAATCCTCATGTTGTGTTCTGGCCATTTTGACCCAGAGATGATTTTCTTTTTCCTAAAATGCTAGTTAAATTTTATTGCAGTGGACTAAAACTTACTGATTATTCGTAGGACTCATTAATTTGAGCATATGCATCTCAGTTTTTGAGTGAACATTGCCCCAAATAATGCTTTTTTTACTAAAAAACTGAGGTGCATAAGCTCAGATCAACGAGGCCTTCGACCACAACAGAAAGAAGTTTACAAACAGATTGAATCCAAAAATTTAAAAAGGCTGGTCTTTTTTGACTGGAAACAAATTAATTAAAATCTTTTCAGTGCCATTTCATGCACAGGCTTGAGACTCAGGCACACAGGTGTAAGACGTTTGTCTAGTGCATGTTTACTAGGGCTGGGAAAATAAATCAATGCATCGCAAATCGAGAAATGATTCAGCATCGATTCTGAGATTTTCAGAATGCATTGTGATTCTTTCTCGAGTCGATTCTGAGCTTAGTTTTGAACAGAAGATGGCACTTCATGCTTTAGAAACAGCCGTACTCTGCTTGTTTCCAAATCCTTACACACACTTGAACCTAAAATAATTATTCCTAAAATTCGAAATGGTTGAAGTGAATTACAAGGGTGTTCACAATGGGCTGTGTTCACATTAATCTCATGTCATAAAAGCATTCTAGGCTGAGGTCTCAGGACTCAGCCGTACGCATAGGCACTCTTATTCATGAGCATTTGTGTGTGCGGATAAAAACTAGATTAGAGTGCCACCTGCTGTTAAAATCTAAGCTCAGAATCGATTCCAGAGAGAATCGATTCTGCATCGATTTATCGTCGCAGCCCTAATGCTTACAAAGAAAAACAATGGAAATCAGCACAGTGGAATGCGAAAACATTCTTTGTGAATGGCTCCCGAGAGTTGATCTTTCAGGGCCGATGTTTACCTTTGGGTTTTTGTTGTCTTTTGCTAAGAGGGCTCTCAATCGCTCCTGGGATGGAGGAGCAATGAAGATAATGTAGGGCTTGAGGTCTGAGCTGCGCAATACCTTCAAAGACTAAAAAGGTAGAAGAAATAGTGAATAATAACAATCCAACAAGCATGTGGTACTTGATTTTGCTAATGCAGAGGTGTCCAATTCTGCTCCTGGAGGGCCAGCTTCCATTAGAGTTTAGCTCCAAACCTAATTAAACACACCTGAACCAGATAATCAAGGTCTTAAAGATCACTAGAAGCTTCCAGGCAGGTGTGTTGCAGCTAAACTCACCTGAGTGTGTACACAGAGGAGGCAGATTTTGCCCGTGTTGATGACTTGTCGGACTGAGTCTGTGCTGGTGCCGTAGAGGTTCTTTTCAAACTCTCCAGACTCTATGAACTTCCCTGCGGCAGAGTCCATCTCAAAGGCCTGACGGGACACGAAATGATAATCGCGGCCATTCACCTCGACATCGCGACGGCTTCGCGTGGTGTCTGTGGCAAAGAGAGTTTGTTGCTTAGGACATTACTGAGTAGCACAGGCTGATAAACAGTTTGTTTTCTGATACTTACGAGGAACAGCGCCAGCAAACCTGTCCGGCTCACTGGAGAGGAGTCTTTGTCGGAGCTCATTTTGACCACAGTTTGGTGGGCCGATGAGAGCAATGGGCCGCTTGCGATTGGCTGGCTGGTGATATAGTGCCATTTCTTCATATGTGAGAATCTCCTCGTTATCAAAGTCTGCAGAGCAAGAGGAAACACTTTAAGCCCAAAGTATACTTTGGCTTTTATGCGTATACTAAGGTATGCGGTCAAGTCTACGTGATGTAAATTTCAACATCAGTAAAACACATGTGTATTTTATACACACAGCCTGATTTTTCTAACCGTGCATACTCTCTGTACGTTCAGTTCGCACATGCTTTGAAATTTTTTGGAGTAACTGCACTTTTTTCAACACGGGCCACTGCTTTAAAGTCACAAAAGAAACTAAATGGAACAAATACTGGAGACCGCAACAACAATAGATGCCCATGCTGACAAGTGCTCATATGGTGGAAAGAGACACACAAGGCTTAGTTTCAGTACAAAGTTTTAGTTCAAGTACACAGACATTTTTATCTGTCATAACTTCTGGAGAGAAATCACGCAGATAGTGAACGAGGATGAAACATTCCAGGGCACATATATCAAGACAAGCGCCTGTGTTCACACTATCAAATAGCACATCATTTGAAAGGCTATATGCTATACTGTTCGTCAAAACTGAAGTACTTTAGAATTTAGGATCTGCTGTGGAAAACATTGCTGTTACTCTTAAATTCTGTACATGAAGCACATGATAAAAAGTTTCATCGGAGTCCTCACAGGTGTGGAGAGACCCCTCAGCATGTACATTTTCATTCCAGTGTTTGTCTGAAGAGACTCACCATCATTTTTATTAGCATTGTATTGCATCTTCTTTCGCTTCTTCTTGTTCTTTTTAGCACACCAAAGTTTTCCTGTCAAAATAAGATGAGTGTTAATGAGAATTACTGCGCATGTATGCGCTTAAGAGTGTGCACGAGTTCTGCGACCCTAACCTGATTTCTCAGGCTCTTTATCCTCCTCTATGGTTTGCTTCATTGCCTCTCTCTGCTGCTGGAAAGTTTTGCCTGGACAATCAGTAAGAAAAAGACATGTAAGTCAATGCAAAATAAAACTAGGCAGAAATATTTAAACACAAATCTGGATCCACAGAATAGCACGTGAGATACGGTACCAGGGACCAGGCCAGCAAGTGGCTGGTTGTCTTCATCCCCATCTCTGTAGGCTTGCCACCAGTTAGGGTCATCTTGACTGATTATGTGGAGGATATCTCCCTTCTGAAAGCAGAGGCCGAGCTCTCGACACGGAACGTAGGGGTCATCTGAGGGGTCGTAGTCAAAATGTGCCTTCACATGCATCTGGGTGAATGCAAGGATATGAGTTTGATCATTGATTACTTTTATTTATGCATTGTTTTACTCAAGCAGTAATTAATTTAGTTCTGACTGAAGGCCTCACCACAGTCTCTTTAATAGGAGGTGGTTTGGTCTGCGCGTTGGGAATGAGAACAAAAGTCAGTACGCCATGCATGTCTGCCTGTGAACATAAAAAAAACAACAACATTCAGTGTTCACTGTTCAGTGGCCTAAGAATGTTTTTGGATACTTCAATCAGTACTTACAAACGCTTAAGTGTTTTATAATCAAAAACCTAACAGACCTCTTCCTCTCATCCTTCTTTAAAATTAATTACCAGGATGTCGAAGACCTCGTTGACATCTTTGCCACGGATTTCCACACCGTTGATCTCCAGGATCTCATCTCCTTCATGCAGAAGGCCACTGTGTTCTGCTGCTCCTCCTTTCACAATGCGGCTGATGACCACGCTATCCATATCGTTTCTAACAGTCGCTCCCTGCATAAATACACATGTGCATATTAAGTTAAAATACAGGTCAAATGTCAAGAAGTGCATAATATTCTGGGGAAAAGCAATGAAAAAATGTCCTCACCAATGGGATGTCCTTTGCTTTCTCAATCCGCACGAATTTGACAGTCTCCCCGCCCCACTGGGTGAGAGTCTCACTTTGATTGACAGAAGGAACATGAGGCTCCAGCTGCATCTCCTGTTCAGCCACACTGTCATGGGCCATCATAAGCGCCTGGAGGATATGGAGAGCCAGAGATGATGGGTTATATTCAGGATGAAAGCCACTGAGTTCTACAGAGTAGGCATGAGTCTGACCTCAAAGTCATGTTATAGAGTTCAAAAGAGCTCAGGCTCTGAGACAGGGATTGCGATCACAGCTGTGGGCATCGGCACAGCAACATAGAGGAGACATGGGGGAATTGGGGGATGTGTGTGCATGTGATGTAAACAGACCTGCATGTGAGGAGTTTTGAGCAGGGTGCTTAGCTCAAGTCCTTCCTTCTGCAAGCTGTTGTGCATCATGACCTCCACCTGTGATGACAGATTCAACAACATCAAGTCATTATAGCAATACAACACTACTACATTTATTATGCCTTAAAGTATAGTAGTAGAAAGAGCTAGATTTGACTTGAACACCTTTGACAAAATGCATTTCAATTTTATGATATACACTACCAATCAAATGTTTAGGATTAGGAAGTTTTTTTCAGGTTTTTGAAACAAGTCTTGTATGCTTACCAAAGCATTTATTTGAACCAAAATATAGTAAAACAGTAATATTGTGAAACATTATTACTAAAATAAATATAAATGACTAAATAAAGTACTAAAGTACTAATATATACATTTTATATATATAAAAAATATATAATATGTATATTTTCTATTTTAACATTTTAAAAATGTAAGTTTATCATATGACGGCAAAGTTGAATTTCTTGCAGTGTCACATGATCCTGATATCCTGATTTGGTGCACAAGAAACATTATCTTCGTATTATTATTATCAATGTTTAAAACAGTTGTGCTGCTTAATATTTTAGTAAACACTGTGATTCATATTTTTCAGGATTTTTTTGGATGAATAGAAAGTTAAAATGAACAGCATTTATTTGAAATAGTAAACATTACACATCTTTACTGACACTTCTGATGAATTTAATTTATCCATTCTGACTAAAAGTATTAATTTCTTTCCAAAAAAAATTGCTGACCCCAAACTTTGAATGGTAGTTCATGTTTATGATTTCACAGATATATTAGGAAATTAAAACTGCTGGTGTTCACTTTTTAAATAAATGTCCCTGGTCTTATTATGCTTGAATCAACAGGGCATAGTCTAAAGAAAAAAATTTAATATTTCACAGTGTCATCAAAATGTAACAACTTTCTCTACCTCTGAAATGCCTTTTTTCTGCTGACAAATGTGGAAAAATATTAACCAAAAATATCACAACCTACTAAGATCTAAAGAAATCCTCATGGATGAAATCAAGTCCAGTTTTACATTATTTCTGTATAAATATTCAGTTTTACTTAGAAAGGTCTCGTTGAGGAAATTAAACTGTGCTAACCATGCACACAATCTCGGATGACAACAGTCATACAAAATCACATTGTGGCACAGGAATGAGAAATGATCCATATGACTTCTGCACAACACTGAGAGAGAATTATGTTGTTTACTTTCAGATTGTACCACAGTGAAGCAACACAGTAACAGAAAGTAGGGCTCCGGATTTCAGCAAGATTCCTTTAGGTTTTTGTAAACACAAAGTGCAGCTTTGTATCAAGGGGTCAAAGCAATGGGGGACTTGGAGAGGTTTTGGAAATGATCCTACAGTTACAAGTCGTTGTATTCCACCATGTTCAAATCAGTTACAGACGGAGAACATGCAGTATAAAAGGGACATTTTTGGAGAACTTTGAGAAATACAGTATTTATGAGAAAATAAGGGGATAATATACAAGAGTTCTGTATGGGATGTGCCCACATTTGAAAAGACAGTCCACACCGGCTCTGGTAACCTGTCCCATGAGAGAGTGTATTACTGTGAGAGCACAGCACAAGTCAGTGGAGCTCTGTGTCTTAATGAATGCGGAGGACAGAACAACTCTCTGTCTTGTATTGTCCTGCACCGAGTGAGAGAACCAAAAACAACAACCTGAGTTTATCAGGCTCTCATTAGCACTTCACACAACACTGATTCCAACTAAAGAGCCTTTTCAACAAATATCAGCTTCATTTGTGCACATACTCATTCAGTCAATCATTTGGACTGCTATAAAATGTCAGATCTTCTGAACTTCCTTTACTCAGGATTATAAATGTGTGGTGCCATCAGCCAACCAGCAAAGTCAAGATGTAATTTTCCTGTGATTAGCAGTGGTGGACAAAGTACACAAATCAAGTACCTGAGTAAAAGTACAGATACGTATAATAAAATATTACTCCAGTAAAAGTACTCCTTCAATTTTACTCGAGTGAAAGTACAAAAGTACTCGATTTTTTATGTACTTAAGCAGGGTTTGAAATTAACACCTGCCAACCCGCCAAATGCGGGTAAAAATCAGCTGCGGCGGGTAACGCTGTCAAATCACTAGCCAATTTGGCGGGTTACTTTTCGTAAATTATGTTTACTAAATAATTTTTTGAGGAAGTTCATGTAAGCCATGTCATGATATATTAAATAAGCCTAATTGCGCAGCATCTGGGCATATCTAGCATACTTGAACATACCCAGCGATGTAGCTACTGGCCATCGGGAGCACCGGGACATTCCCGGTGGGTCTATCGCCGAAGCGAGGGAGACCTCATATTAGGCGCTGTTTTTAAATGACAGCCCACGTGAAACTGCAAAACGCAAGTACTCCAAAAGTGTGAAGCGGTGCTACCCGGTGCATCCGCCAGCCGCGCGTTAAAGCAGAGCGGGATCAGTCTCCCGCACAGCGCTGCGCTTCCTCCACGATTTATAAGAGATAAACAGCACAAATCGGTCGATCCATTCAGAAATGATATAAGAAATGTTATACAGTTGTGTGATATGACAACATTAAAGGTTCTGCCTGAAAACAGCCACGACAAGGTAAAATGCATGTAAACAAATTGCAATGTAAACAAACTTTAATAGCTTATTTCTCTTTAAATGTTTCATTCTAATTAATTTTAATTTAAGTAAAATGTTAATTCAATCCATTTACAAATATTCTTTAAAGGGATAGTTCACCCAAAAATGAAAACTGTCATCGTTTAGGCTACTCAGCATCATGTCATTCCAAACCCGTTGACGAGAGTGATGTAGTAATGTTCACTATGAAGCTTACACTGCGATGTACCTCAGAAAAAAAAAGGTTTGACCTAGGGCTGTCACGGTGAGGGAATTTCCCTTGTGGTAATTTTGAGTGGCTCAATAGCAAGAGACTTTCTATTGATATTTCCACCTGCGTGCGTTCTGGGCGGGCTGTCAGTCAGTGCAGTTAGATTGTTGCGCCACAAGGTGGTGGAAAGGGACTGTCTTTGAGTGAGTCTTTAAACCGTTCGTTCAACTACACATTCAAAAACGCGGATTCATTCATTCAAAGAGAGATGTAATGAAACACACTGTTGAAATCATTTTAACTTTGAGCGCCACTTTAGAAGGCTCAGCTGACCAGCTATGCGTCGATGCTAA